GTCTGTGTTAGTTTATATAATGTTTTATAGCAATAAAAAGCAAAATACACTGCTGTTATCTTAAGTAATAGTAATCCTATCATTTCGAAGTTAAACAAGTTTTCAATATCAAGCTAGTAACTTATTGTCTGTCCACACATTTTGAAAGCTGCAAATCAAGCTAAAATGCCAGACCTGCCCAAGGCTGAGTTAGTCTAAAAAGTCAGAGCTCCCAATACGACTTCTCACAGCCCTCTGATTACAGCAGAACTAAAATGAGGCCAAGGGGAGACTGACCAGGTAGAGGGGACACCGATCTGAATCAGCACCTAACTTTTCTTGAAAAACAAAAGAGTTATCTTCCCTCTGGAAGCAGGCCATGGAAGGTCAGTGAGAACAAGACATAGCTTTGAGCAACACATGCCATTTCCTGATTTTTCAGGACAAGCTGGCCCTCGAGGAAGAGATCTGGGAGCCAATCCCCAGGCTCTGCCCAGAAGCGGGCGGGGGAGCAGAGCCTGCCCAACCCGACCAAGGAGGGGCCTGCAGGCTGATGTCAACAGCACACAGCTTACAAAAGAGTTTCAGGTGAGGAAACCGGGGAAGGAGGTGACACCACCGCCTTGCAGGCAGCCTGCTGGTCGCTGTTCTTTTCTTCTTGAAAACTGGCTGCTGGTGGGAAGGTGCCTTCTAGATAAAGTTTGATCGTTCTGCACCATTTTAACTAGGTGGGTTTCACTGTTCCTAAATTACACTTGGCTTTTCAGGAAGCCCTATTTACTTTTCCACCAAAAGGAACTGTTCCATCTCTTGATCCATCTGTGTATAGTTTTAGGAAATACAGATTTTTCAAAAGCAGCCAACACTAATTCACAATTAAATTTGCCTAAAAATATTTTTTATATTATAAAGCGAAAAAGCTCAATGCAATTCACAGATGGGTTCCTCCAAGCTCCTTAGAAAGTGGGCAGCTGAGCCCTGAGCCCACCCTGCCCACCCCCAAGAGCTGTGAGGAGGTAGCCAGGCACAGCCTGGCCTCTGACCTCTCACACGTGAGGGCCTTTCGGCCAGTCCTGCTGCCTTGCTGCTGCTGCCTGATTCTTTTAATCAGATATTCCTACTTCAGTTACAGAACCGCATTCTGATCTCCACTGACAACTTCTGCAGGATCCACTGAAGAGTTGTGAAAGTAGTTAAAGATCTCAACATTTTATCAGGTGCCAGGATTAATGGGCTTAAAAGCTGACAATTAAAATGTGGTCACTTATTACTAACCAAAGGAGGCAGATCTTGAAGGACACACCCCAACCGATACTCCTGGGGCAGGGAGGTGCAGGCCAGCAGCGTCCTCCAGGCTCACCTGGCACCATGACTCATCTTCCAGCCTGCTCTCCCCACCCACCCCACACCTGTAGTCTAGATGGACCAGGAAGAGCTGGAGCACAGGCTCCCTCAGAACCTGCCAAACTGGACTGGGAAACCTTACAGGAGTGGCTCCAAAGGGCACACTCGCTGATCCAATCCTGGGAGGGTGCAGGGAAAGGGGGCCGAGAGGGGCCTTGTCAGGCAGAAACTCCCTGTGGCCGCTAGCTCTTGTGTTAATTAGGAGAAATTAGAAAAGCTGAGCCGGAGTCTGGGGTGTCCCTGCCAGTAGGTGGTTCCCTGTGTGACGCTGTGTCAGCTCATTACCAACGCCTTGGACCTGCCCAGAGAGTGGAGGAAAGTAACCTCCCCTGAGATCAAAGGCCACAAGTGCAACCACAGGAGTTTCTGCAGAGGACGTTGGCCACCACCAGCACAGCCAGTGCTCTCTGGTCCCTCATGCTCAGTAAAGCACTTAAACAAGCCCCAGTTCAGAAAGGCTCTGAACACCCACCTCCACACCCTCCCCAGTTATGGTCCAGACAAGGCAGCGGGGTCCTGTAGGGTTCATTTGAGGACCCTAGGATCCCCAGAGGACGGCCTGGCCGCGCCCTTTCAGCTATAGCAGACCTGCAAAGCTGCTTTCACTGACAGTCACTGGAGCAGCCACTGGGCTCTTTACAGCCCACTCCTACCACGTACCGTGCCCAGAAAGCTAAGCATGTGGCAGCTCAGTGGGCCCCAAATCTGTCTTTTCTTTTCCGAATAACAGAGGGGTGACCCTGGAGTACCAAGTGCCAGCACCTTCAGCCTCCAGGAAAATCAGTTCCTTCTGTGTGGTGACACACCCTCCACTTCAGACCCGTGTGGCTCACTGCAGGCCTCACCCAGGTGTAGGTCCAAGAGCCACGAGCATAAACCCATCCACCCATGAATCCACAGAACTGAGCCAGCAACAGCAACTCTCACACCCATGTCATGCTCAGGCCAGGTAGAACACAGCAACTCTTCAGACTAATATTTCACTTTATAGAATCGCTGCTGAGATTAGTATGGTGACAAGTTCCAAAGTTTCAGAGAGCAGAAATCACGTGCTTGTGGCTAAAAGAGCCTCTGTTCCAAAATCCAGGGCCCTGAGCAAGAAGCACCCTATGCCTGGCCCACGGACACCAGTGGGACGGTAGGGGTTGGACCATCATCAGTATCACTACTCTTTACATCCTGAAGGACACTAGTCCCTATGGTGCAGTGGGTAAGAAGATTTCATCCCAAGTAGAGAAGCAGGTGTGGGATGGCTGCCCACCCTCTATGCCCGGCTCTCCCGCTCTTCCCAGCAAGCTTGGCCTCGCTGTATTCCAGTTTCCTCTGCCAACTCTCAGCCTCAGCCCTGCTCCTCCAGAGGGTCCCAGGAGGAAGAGTCCTGCCAAATCTGCCACTCTGACAAATGTCAAACTGAAAAAGAAGTGCTGGGATATTCGCACTTTGAAATGGGAATGATCCTCCAGAAGCCAAATCCATGCAGTGGTATGTTGGCATCTCACTCAGCACATGACAGCTGCCTGAGTCTAGGCAGATGTCCTCGGTGTTGTGGGAATAACCACGGTGCCTGCCCACCCTCAGCACTGGACACTGAGTCAACTTAAAGAAGCTTTACTGTCCTGTGACTGCTGAAGCCCTAAGAAAACATGTGTTTTGCTTTCATTTTCTAGTCACGAAAGCCATTTCCAAAGGCAGGCAGTAGGACCAGAAGCAGCAGGAAGTGCCTTCCCGGAAGCCTGGGCAAACAGCAGCAAGGCTCCTGTTCACAGAGCAGTGGGACCACTGAAGTGCTGACTAAGGAGCAGCCTCGGCCTCGGGGATGAGTGAGGGATGAGGGGCAGGCAGCCTGGCCTCAGGCCAGCGGTCATCCAGGACCACAGCTCCCACACACCACTGCTGCCCTGTCACTCTGTCCTTCCATTCAAGGGAGGAGGAATCAGACATCTTTATAACTTCCTGGAAGCATTCAGGCTCCTTCAACTTCATCAGAATCCCCAGGCTGTTCTGTAAGCTTTGCTTTGATATGTCAAGATCAAGGAAGAGATACAGGCCAGAGGCACTTCCTGGGCAGTAAACAGGCCTATGGTCTCTCCCCTGACCCCATAAATGGTGAGAACAGAAAGATGCTCCAGTCCCCAGGACCTCTGAGCCACCCCAGAGGAACTGAGGGGCCACAGACCCTGAGCTGCTGCCTCACCCGCTGCCTACCAGGCAGGGCACAGCCTTTCCCCCAGGCACCTGGCTGCCTTGGAGGACCAGCATGCCTGGCTGGAGGGGCAAGTAGCTGGACCTTTCTGGGCCGTTAGGCCCCCGAGACTGGTTTAGGACCTGCGGGGTCTCACACTCTCTTCGGGCATCACACACAGATCTCTGGTGGCATCTCCTAAAGAGCTGTGGGAGGAAAATTTTGAAATCCGTTTCCTAGTAAAAGCCGTCAGGCGAGTATGATGCGCCATGACTGACACAGAGGCTGCCACTATGCTCGGCACCCGTCCTGTGGCTCCTTAATCAACAATGAAAAATAAAGGCCTGACCTTCTTCAAGCCCAAAAATATAGCACTAGAGCAGAGTACAAAACTTAAACATCCATTATACTGGTGCCACATTTGTTTTGCAATTTTCCCAAACAAAAAAACAGATATTTTATTTTTTAATCCTCACCCGAGGATATTTTTCCATTTATTTTCAGATGTGGGGGGACATCAATGTGAGAGAGACACACTGATTGGTTGCCTTCTGGGCAACCCCAACCAGGGCCAGGGACTGAACCGCAACCAAGGTACATGACCTTGACCAGAATGGAACCCACGACTCTGGTCTGCAGGCCAATACTCTAACCACTAAGCCAAACCGGCCAGAGCAAAACAACAGATAAAGTGGGGCATGACGGCGGGGACACCCAGATGCCTTGCAGGGCTCAGTGGGAACACACACTGAGATCCCAAAGCCACACAGTTGCCACAGCATCTGGTGGGACCACCAGCCTGCTGGTTTCAGTTCTTTCTCCAAGAAACCAGAGAAAATATATTTTTTCCTCTCTCAAAGCTATTCTGAAGAATGATTTTCATTCCAAAGGTGTTGATGATGAAGTATCTAGTCAATACTAAGACTAGTGAACATTTGAGTGCTGGTCCATGGAAATTAGAAAACGAAGGCAGGACCAAACCCAGCCCCTCAACAACAGCGCTGCCACCTGAAGGCATCCTTTCTGGTGCTCCCAAGGAACTCCTTCCAAAGTGAAAGCTGACAGCCGAAATTCTAACATTTCTCTCTCAGCACAGCACACAGATGCTAAGAAGCCCAACTCACCTGATGAGTTGTCCCTGCTTGTTCCCTGCACACTCTCCTAGCCACCGATTCCCTTCACCTAAGGCTCTGCGAACCGCAAGCCAGGCGAAGCCTCTGAAACACTCCTCCTGAGCACTGCGGTCTGAGCTGCTGACCCACGAGAAAGAGTCCTGACCTGCTGTTGCCTCACAGATCAGCCTTTAAGACTATGTTACTGGCTCACAAACACCTCTCTCTCGCACACCTCTCCTCACATGGGGCCATCAGGTGGGCGTGACCCGAGGGCCGACAGCAGAGGCAGATCTAACAGCCACAACTCTCACAGGCTTTACCTTGAAATCTTGGCCACAAAGGGCGTCAGCTCCTGAGGCTCATAGGCGCGTGCGAAGGCCCAGCACACATAACAGGCGGCATCCCTGACGTTGTCACCCACGCTGCAGGCACCTCGCTTTTCCTCGTAGGTCAGCGCCTTCAGGATCACAGGAACCACTGAGCAGAGAAGACAGGGACTGAATGGGACCATGGAGGCAGCACATGTGGTTTTAAAGAAACAGCGTCTATTGTGACCACACAACCGTCGCACCTCAGCACCAAACCGAGGCAGGCAGAACCGATATGCACAGTCCACCCCAAGGTCATTCTGTAGAAGTGAGGACCTCATCAGAAAGAACATGCAGGAAGAAAACAGAAGTCCACCAGCTCCCATCAGGTGGAAGCGTATTTTCAAGCTCCCTAAAAAGCATACAATGAAGTGCAAGCCCCTATGAGGCCACCAAGAGGGCACTGCAGAGCCTGGAGACCCACAGCCTGCCAAGCAGCGAGGACGGGCTCCCAGTGCAGTAAGGCAGGGGAGGGCCAGCACGACACTAGGAGCCCTGGACTCCTGTTGTCAAGGGGGCCATAAAAGATACACTGGCTCATAATTCTGACCCAAAGCAGTTACCTGATGAGCAACCCTGAAGGGAGAGGAGAACCCCAATCACACAGGTGTTTTAGCTCTGCTCAGAGGGTGTCTGTCACCTGTGGGAGTCTCAGAATTGAGACCTAAAAAAACAAATCAACCCCTGGTGACTTCCGCACTCATATTAACTTTAGAAACGATCTACATGTGTTTAATTATCTGAAATAACTATAATATTGATAATGTGAAATACATAACAGATTATCCTGGTTCCATTTAAAAAGGTCTAATTAATTGGCCCTGGCCGGTTTGGCTCAGCGGTTAGAGCGTCGGCCTGCGATCCTGAGAGACCAGGGTTCGGTTCCCGCTAAGGGCACGTACCTCGGTTGCAGTTTGTCCCCGGCCCTGGTTGGGTTGTGCGGGTGGCAGCCACTTGATGTGTTCCTTTCACATCGATGTTTCTCTCTCTCTCTCTGTTCCTCTCTCTCCCTCCCACTCTACCTGAACAAAAAATGGAAAAATGTCCTCGGGTGAGGATTAAAAAAAAATAATAATAAAAAGGTCTAATTGAATAATTTAATATTACATAGGTGATTTTTCATAAAGATGTGATAGAACTTTAAGAGACGTGCTAAAGGTATTTAAATGTTTAAAAGAGCTAAAGTTTTACCATTTATGTTAAATTTATTTTAAGTACCTGGAAAGGTTTTTCTTATTAGACATGTAAATTACTTAAAAATAAAATATATCACATTCATGCATTCGGTTTTACAAGTATAAACAAATGCAATTGCCCTGGCTGGTTTGGCTCAGTGATTGGAGCATCAGCCTGAGGTCCAGAGAGACCTAGGTTCGGTTCCCGCTAAGGGCACGTACCTCGGTTGCAGTTTGTCCCAGGCCCCAGATGGGTCATGTGGGAGGCAGCCACTAGATGTGTCCTTTTCACGTCGATGTTTCTCTCTCTCTCTCTCTCTCTCTTCCTCCTACTCTATCTGAACCAAAAAAATGGAAAAAGGTCCTCAAATGAGGATAAAAAAAAAAAAGAAACAGAAAAAGCCCTGGCTGGTTTGGTTCAGCAGTTGGAGCACTGGCCCATGGACCAGAGAGTCCCGGGTTCAGTTCCCACTAAGGGCATGTACCTCGGTTGCAGTTTGTCCCTGGCCCTGGCTGGGGTCATGTGGGTGGCAACCAGCTGAGGTGTCTCTCTCACATCAATGTTTCTCTCTCTCTCTTCCCCCATCTCTCCCCCCTGCTCCATCTAAAGATAAATGCACAAATGTCCTCGGGTGAGGATAAAAAAATAAATTTTTAAAAAATGTAATTAATTTGATAAATGAATCAATTTTTAAATCCTTTAAAAATAATTATAATAAAAAAAGCTTAAGAAAAAAAATGTAATTTAAAAATCAAAGACAGCGTGGCCCTGGCCCGTTTTGCTCAGTGGTTAGAGTGTCGGCCTCCGGTCCAGAGAGACCCGGGTTCGGTTTCCACTAAGAGCACGTACCTCGGTTGCAGTTTGTCCCCAGCCCTGGTTGGTCATGCAGGTGGCAGCCACTCGATGTGTCCCTTTCACGTCAATGTTTCTCTCTCTCTCTTCCTCTCTCTCCCTCCCACTCTGTCTGAACAAAAAATGGAAAAATGTCCTCGGGTGAGGATAAAATAAATAAATAAATAATAAATAAATAAAAATCAAAGACAGTGTGAAGTTTTTACAAAGTCACACTAAATGGAACTTTCTGTGAGATCACGCTGGAAGTCCCACTCACTGGCCTGAAGCAGACAAGGACGCAGCCATGACCTGCACTGGGCAGGTGGCACCAGCACTTCAGAAGGGGTACAAGTGAGAAGAGTCCACGTGTGCTCCAGGAGCTGGAGAGACCATGCATCCCAGTCCCCAGGCGACCTGCTTATGATCAACCTCTGCCCCATGATGCCGCATGACAGACAGCGGCAGGGAGGAGGACACAGCCCATGCCGCCTCGGAACAGTGGCCATGGAAGCCGCGGAGGCACTGGAAACACACACGCCTGTCGGCACACCTCGAGCCCTCTCCTCTTCACCAAGGTGAATGCTGAGACTTGGAAACAACCTGAGAAAGACACTCAGTGTGAATTTAAGAAAACTAAAGTATCGCCCTGGCCAGTTTGGCTCAGCAGTTAAGAGTGTCGGCCCTCAGACCAAAGAGTCACAGGTTCGATTCCGGTCAAGAGCACATACCTCAGCTGCAATTTGTCCCTGGCCCTGGTTGGGTCATGCAGGAGGCAACCAGTCAATGTGTCACTCTCATCTCGATGTTTCTCTCCCCCACCCACCACTCTGTCTGAAGATAAATGGAAAATATCCTCAGGTGGGGGACTTACATAAACAAACTAAAGTATCAATTACTCATACATGTACCTATCATCACAGAAATTATCTTCCAGGAAAATGTACCTAAAAATAGTCTTAGGCAAAAAAAAAAAAATCAAAAGACACAATGCAGGACTATGAATATTATATACCAATAACCTTTCTGCCATTCTGTAGCCAAGGATATTTGATTCTATATAAATAGCAACAAAAAATAGATTTGATTCTATACAGTTTATTTTAAAAACATATAGTAGTTATTTTTTATCCTCACCTGAGGACATTTTTCCATTTTTTTTTGTTCAGGTAGAGTGGGAGGGAGAGAGAGGAACAGAGAGAGAGAGAGAGAGAAACATCGACGTGAAAGCGACACATCGAGTGGCTGCCACCCGCACGACCAACCAGGGCCAGGGACAAACTGCAACCGAGGTACGTGCCCTTAGCGGGAACCGAACCCAAGTCTCTCTGGACCGCAGGCCGACGCTCTAACCGCTGAGCCAAACCGGCCAGGGCTATAGTAGTTATTTTTAATAAAAATGTAAAATTTTCACATAAATTTACTTTAAATTACATAAAATAAACAAACTCCAGAATAGAAAACTCAAAGACACTGCGTCATCACACCCATCTCCAGGCACTCGGGAAATGTCTGCTCCCAGGACCCACAGCGGCTCGGGCACCTGCACTCAAAGCTCTGACGGTGGACAGGAGGCGACGTCACCCAGGCCCAGAGCTGGCCTCGCTCCACATCTGTGCACACTGAGGACCCTGAACTTGGAGCTCAGTCTCTCTTACCAAGTGCACATTTCCTCAACCCAACAACAGCAGGAAACCCCACTTGAGATGTGCCAAAGGCCCCTCACATTATACAACATCTGAAACTGAACCTATCTCCTCTCACACTCCACCTCAGCTGGAGGCCATGCCACCCTTGCACGGCTCAGGGTTCAGTGGTCACAGCAAGGTCACCCTCCTGGCTTTCGCATGTCCGACCAAGGCCTGCCCCACCCACAGCAGCCATGCCTTTGCTGAGGCCCCATCACCCCTCACCCCGGCCTCTCCTGTCAGCCCTGCCACTGCTGGACCAACAGGGCCCTTAGCCTCCGTCTGCCCGACACTCACTGCACAGCAGAGCAGGCTGCACGAGCTGGCTCCTGCGCCTCCCTCCTGAGTCCCCCAGCGCCCCATGCCAAATCCCCCACTGGCCTTACCCCCTCCAGGCCATGACCAGGAGCGTGTGGCTTCCCAACTGCACAGCACCCTAGAGCCAGGCCAACCTCGCTGAGCAGGAGCCACTGAAGCGGGCGAAGGTCTGCCTCCATCAGGCACACACAGACACACTGCTCTACTTTCTGAAAGAAGAGCCATGGTTCCTTGTGAATGTCTATGGTTTACCTTCCAAAAACAAGGCTTACAATTAAGACAGCGTGAATGCCAGATAAGAGGGCACTGCCATGGCTGCTGTTGATAAAGTAGTTACATCCAATTAGTAATTTTTAAATGACTGTCTCTATCTAAACTATACCAGATCTGCAATGCTTAAAATTGTTTTACCTGGAAAAATTCTAGTTTACCTGAAATGACTCCTAGTTTTCTAGTGTTGCTCATACTTTCTGTGCTAATAGGAGAGCCCTCCATGGCCCGACGAGTGTCAAAACTTATGGACTGTGGCACCTTCACGAGGAAAGCAGAACAGAACTGTGGTGTCACTGCCACACCAGATTCCCTCAACTGTCACTGACCCAGCGCCCAGGCAGTTCTGGGTGAGAACGTTCAACAATTCTATAGCCAGAGGGAAATCTGGATGCTGACTGCTGAGTCCCAATTTATCATCCACCAGACAAAATCAATTTCACATAGACAACTATGAATGACAGCGGTCAGCAACACGGTGTTTACTTCACACAGACATCCCACCCAACTCTACACTTAGAAATGCTGGGTGCCACCTGGGAAAAGCCCACTTTCATGTGGACACAGTCCCCACCCTTCACCTGCTCACCACCCCAAGGTCACTGGGCTACTGGCAAGCCACTGCCGGCACACCCCCAGAGCCTGACCCCTAGTTGGGGAGCCCAAGGGCCTGATCCCAAGTCAAAGTGAGATCGTTTCCTAACAGGTCATTTGTTGGCTGGGAAGGTCGATCAGTAATGAGGAAAGGACACGAATTGCTGACTTGTGTTCCACTAACAGGCAACTGCTTCAATACACAGAGGCCTTCGCTTGGTTTGACTGGCAT